TGCGATATCTTATATCACCCGGGTAAGGGCAACATAGTAGTCGACACACTCAGCAGGAAAATTGTTGGTATATTAGCTCATTTAATAGTTTCATAATGCAGATTAATAGGGGCCACACAACAGGTACGATTTCAGGACCTAAAGAGAGTCACATGTTTGGTCCACTTGACCGTTCAACCTGAGTTAATCCACATAATAAAAGAAGCTTAATCCGTCAATTCCACCTTATCAGGAGTTAATCCAGAGAATAAAGGAAGCTCAGTCTGTCAATTCTACCTTAGCAGCCCTCAAGAAAGATGCAGAACAGGGAGTAAGTTCTGAATTTTGAGTCTCTACCGATGGGTTGCTCAGATTCCAAGATAGGGTGTGTGTTTCAGGTGACAGTGAGTTGAAAAGGGACATCATGACAGATGCCTATAACTTAAAGTTTGTTATGCATCCCGAAAGCATTAAGATATATCAAAGTATGCAACCCTGATTTTGGTGGAACGGGATGAAAAAAGATATGACTGACTTTGTTTCTAAGTGTTTAGTATGTCAGCAGGTCAATGCAGAGTATCAACGCCAGGTGGGCGACTTCAATCATTACCAATTATGGAGTGGAAGTGGGAATATATCACAATGGATTTCGTGAAAAGATTGCCATTTGAGTAATTGTTGACTGACTTATCAAATCTTTCCACTTCTTGGCCATCAGGATGACTGATCCCTTAGACAAGTTAACAAGAATGTATCCGGGATATAGTCAAATTACATGGAGTACCAGTGACAATAGTGTCTGACAGGGACTCCAGGTTCACTTATCGGTTCTGGTCTAACTTTCAGTAAGTCATGGGAACGAAACTGTCTTTTAGTACTGGATTCCATCATCAGGCCGATGGACAGTCAGAAAGGACAATCCGCACACTTGATGATATACTCTGAGCTTGTGTTATTAACTTCGGGGGCCATTGGGATGACCATCTACCCCTGATATAGTTCGCCTACAACAGTTACCAAGCAAGTATTGGCATGGCTCCGTATGAGTCGTGTACGACCGCCCATGCAGATCGCCGATATATTGGGAAGAAGTGGGTGATAGAAAACTATTCGGCACAGATCTCGTAGAGGAGACTACAACCAAAACAGTTAAGATAAGGAAGAACATTCAGATGGCTCAGAGCAGCCAGAAGAGTTATGCGGACACCTAGAGAAGAAATTTGAAATTTGATAAAGGCGATCGGGTGTTCCTTAAAGTCACCCCTTTCAAGGGAATCTGTAGGTTTGGCAAGAGGAGAAACTAAATCCCCGGCATATTGGGTCATTTGAAATCTTAGACAGAATTGGTACCGTCGCCTACAGGCTGACACTGCCTTTAGAACTTTTCAGGGTCCATAATGTATTTTATGCGTCCATGCAACGCAAGTACAACCCGGAACTGTTTCATATCTTAGCCCACGAGTCTTTTTCACTCAAAGAGGATCTGTCCTACGAGAAAGTACCGGACGGTATTGTGGACCAAAAGAGCAGATTACTTCGTAATCAGAAAATTTCTTTTGTTAAGGTCCTATGACAGAATCACATACCGAGAGAAGCCACATGGGAGGTAGAATTAGACTTCAGAGCCCAATACCCCCAACTATTTGATTAAGTAAGAGAGAGACAAATTTGAGGGACCAAATTTCTTTTAAGGTGGGGGAAGTTATAATACCCAAATTAATTTAATTGTAATTTAAATTTATTTATAAATATAATTTTTAAATTTTTTGAATTTTAATTTAATGTAAAAATGAAGAAAAATAGGAGGGGGATGAAATTGAAAATAATTTTGGGAAAAATGGATGAAATTTTGAGTTCTGGGGGTGTTTTTGAAAGAAAAATTGAAAATTAGAGGTTAGAACGCAATTTAAGAAAGTTGTACTACGTAGGATGCTTAGTCAGCAGTTCCGACAAATCAGAACGTGTAGAGTGGCAACGGACACTAATGTGGTACCACGTGGGAGGCCACACAGGTGATCCGCGTGTCAGCGATCGGATGGTCAGATTTAAACGCAATCAACGGTCCAGATCCACTTCTTTTTTAAACGTGATCAGACGGTTCAAATCAGATTACGATGAACGATCCAGATTCACTCTCTATTTAATCGCGATCGGATGGTCCAGATTAAACGTAATAGACGACACAGATTAAAAAGGAACATATATAAATAACCCTCTTCACACCAAACCCTAACCCTAACCGCCAGACACCCTCGCTGGAGAAGAAGACTCAGTAGGCGGGAATGAGAACCGCCGCCATCCGCCACTATGCCGGAGCCACTTCCGACCGCTGAAAGAGGTAAAAATTTCTCCATTTACTTGGAATTCAATTTTAAACATCCCCATGGCCAAATCGGAGCCAAAAGACCCGTGGATAAACCAGAAACCGCGGGCAAATCCCGGCGGTGCTGTCGCGAAAAATTGCAAAAAATGCCTCCGGTGAGACCCTTCCGATTCCTGTTCTGCGTAATTCTTCTTTCACCATTTTAACCACCGTTTTCTTCTTTATAGGTTGATTGAAACAAAATATCCAAAGACAAAGGTGAGCCGGCGAAGCCGCCGTACCAGAGAACCCCACCGCTTATGAGTTTCAGTTTTTCATTTTTTTTGGGCCAACTAAGACCCCTTAATGTGTTTTCTCGCAGGGATTGTTGCAAATCTGGCCGAATTCGATCGAAAAGAACCAAATCGAGACAAACCACTATTGCGGGTGGCGGTGTCGTTGCCGGAGCACGGCAAAGCCACCGTGCCAGAATTTCAGAATTGGCCAAAAAGAGGTTCTGACACTAATTTTGGATTTTTCGGATATTTGTAGTACTTATAGCGCATTTTAATCCCCAAAGAAAAATTCACTAAACTCGAGCACCGGCAGTATGTGCAATCAACAAGTTTAGCTTTTCGGACATCGATTTGAGTAATTATCCCTCACTCTATTTTCTGTTATGGAATTGACGTCAATTAACATATACGGTATTTGTGCAATTTAAAGATATATATATATATGGGTACTAATGGATCTGAACCGTCACGCGCGCGGGAACAAATCCGGACCGTCCGATCCGCAGGCATGCGAATTACC